GAAAGAGAGAGAGAGAGAGAGAGAGAGAGAGAAATTTCCCAAGGTTCAGAGAATAAGCATCATGAAAGAGTCTTCATGAATACCATTAGCCTAGAACTTTAGACGAGAGCCAAGGAACGCTGAGTACTTGGGGGAATGTGGATAGGGAGAAGGACTACCTGGCAAAGGACTAAGTCCCTGGAAGGGTTGTTACATGCAGTTCAATTACCAAGTAAAGGAAATAGTAAAAGGCTTCAAAAAGATACTTGAGTAAAATACAAGCATTCCTTCTGCCTAAGGGAAAGAAGGGAGGAACACATTTAGCCCTAGGAAAGAATTTTCTGGATAAATCCTGGATTATATCATTATATGACTAGAAACATAGTTGACAAAGCAGTTCCAAATGTCAAGATATATATCTGAATGGTTTATGAAAGGCAAAAGATTTTTAAAAATGGCACCCAACAAATTTACGTACATCTAAAAGTGCAGATCCTGGTAACCAAATAGAAGAGAACAATGTCTGGAGGCCATAGTCACCTTCTGGTAGAAGAAATTTCAACCAGTGGAGAGAAAAAAATGTCCGGGGACTTGACCATCCCAACACTAAATAATCATGGTGTGGATTAAACATAGGCCTCGCTAGGTGTGGATTTATGGATAAACATGAAAAATGTAAAACTCAAAGACAATTGAAAAGAAAAATAGCATCCTTCAAGGAAATGCAATAAGGAAATGGATTCTCTCTCTCTCTCGCTCTCTCTCTCTCTCTCTCGCACACACACACACACACACACACACGCACACACACACACGCGGAATACTAAATATGAGTGGACAGTACTTCTTTTATGGGATCTTAGGGAGTAAAATAATTTTTTTTTTTTTGGCACATCCAAAGATGAAAGTATCTCACCAGAGTTTCAATTTTCATTGCATAAGGAAGAGCCACACACCCTAAGCCACTTCTCTTCCTGGGATGCCTTCCTCTTTTGCGGGTGTAGGGTTGGGGATAAAAAGTCCTTGTAAGCAATCTGCTCTCACGTTTCACCGTGAGAAAATGACCATGCGACATGGACAACGAACCACCAAAGACTTGTCACAGGTGAACAGAGTTTAGCATTACCATCAAACAACTTGCAATAAGGATAACTGAACATACATATCGAGATCTGCACAGTTACTCTTGTGCTGCCTGATAATTGCCTGTATTTTGTGCAACTTTATATACCACGTATTTCTGGAGGTAGCCATCTGAGGTGAGGGTAAGAGGGGGAAACAAAGTGGAGAGCTGCCCTGGTCCATCAGAAGACAGCTGCCTCATATTTAACCCAGG